GGGGGGGGGGGAGGCTCATCATGTTTTTTGCCTGTCATGGAAATTGATAAGCCACAAATGCTGAGCCTTGAGTCACTTGACATATTAAAGCATGTAGAACTAAAAGACTGGAATCACATTTAATCTAGGTACAGGTTGAAGCTCATTGTGTAAGGTTCGGGAATCATTGCAAAGACCATGGCCATAAAACATACCTCACAATGCTTCCTCAGATCTTCTGCTCCAAGTGAATCGGCAATTTCAAGCATTTGTATAACATTTCGTGGCTCAACCAGACTTTCTGCAGCTGCTTTTTCACAAAGGGCTTTTAAGCTTGGTATGGACTTTTCGCCAGAATCATCCTTCTCTACAACGGATGACACTGCATCATTGAACATACTATCTTCTTCGAGCTCCTCTATTTCATCCCTAACTTGCACAATCTGTGTTTGAGGACTCTTGTCATCACTGGATGGATAGATAGGGTGATAGAGGGAACCGACAATCAATAAATGTGTTTCCCCAACTGAAACTGACGTGGCCTTTTTCACGCCATGTAATCGAGTGACAGCTGGTGGCTCATCCTTTCCCTTTTTTCCATCCCACATGTATACATCGCCTGTAGCTGTAACTACAGCAGCCCAATACTTTCCTGTGGAAATGCTAACGATATTGATTCCACACAATGAATACAGCTGTAAAACATAGGGAGAGAATAAGAGATGATATTTCATTTCTGAGTTCTGAAATGAGTTAAAAATCAACAGGCCCCAAGTCTTTTAAAAATAAAACCTGTTGGCATCGAAGATCAGGATCTGCAGATGCCCAATAAAATAATGTGCCATCATCTGTTAGAGCCAAGCTATGCACCATCCCAGCAGCAATAGCAGCCACATGAAGTCGTTCCAAGCGATGAGATTTCCAAGGGCTATTCCCACTTTTCTTTAAATTTCTAGCAATCACAACACGTCTTGGTGTAACCAGTCGGTGACCCCAAGTATAAACCTGCCATACAAAAATATTTACAATTAAACAATGATAAGTTATTTGTGAATCCTAAGTAACAATAAAAATGATGTGCTGTTGCCTCCAGTTAAGAATTGCAAACCAAAATGCACATAAGAAATGATCCAATTCAACTCAACGCTACCTCTCCACCAGCCCCCAATACAATAGTGTGGTATTTTGCCACTGAAACTCCTGTCAAAACTTTGCCTTTCAAGTACTCAACAGCTCTTGGAGTGTAATTGGATGCTGAGTTAGAGGTTCCATACCCAAGTTGACCCTCTCTATTGCAACCCCAAGTGAAAACTTCACCAGAATCAGACACTACAGCAGTGTGTTTGTTTGCTGCAGCAACAGCAACAATCCTTGACCTAAGGGAACTTACCCTACGAGGAGTGGGTTGAGTGTCCACAGTGTACCCAAGCTGACCCTCTGGAGAAAATAAGATCATAGAGATAAATACTTCAGAGTGAAAAAACAGCAAAATGCCATAAGAAAAATACCATTTTTCCTCATTCACTAATTTGAATACTTAAAACCAAAACCCTATCAACTACGGTTTGATAATTTAAAATATTCCCCATCCATTCCATTACATAAAGGGTAAGTATGTGATTTAGAATTAAATGGTTCCACGGAGTTGAGAGTTGAAATCAGATCAGTTGCCTAGAAAACTCTAAAAGAACACAAATAATTATTACCTCTATTGGAACCCCAGGTAAAAACTTCCCCACCCTCCGTAGCAAGAACAGTGTGGTGTTTAGCAGCTGCAATTGCCTTCACCCGGCGGGATCCTAAACCAGAAGTCACCTGACGGGGAGTGATAACTGCAGCTTGGCCACTGAAAACAATAAAATAAAATGCACCTGATTGTTGATTCACATAACTTCCACAGAAATCACAATAAACTGAAAGAACACAACAAGAAAAGATGATGTCATTTTCAGAAGTTCAAGCATTATTATTATTATTATTATTATGCCTGTGGAAATCAAAGTCAAATTCTTTACACTGTACCTGTGGATATCAAATTCAGGATGCCCAAGGCGGCCCCCTCTTCCAAATCCCCACGTGTAGACTTCTCCACCAGCACTAACTGCTGCACTATGAAACTTAGCAGCAGAGACTAATTTAACAAAAGAGCCATGAAGTGCATCAACTTTACAAGGTAGCTTTTGTATGTGAGTATTTCCAGTTCCAAGTTGATAATTGGCACCACTTCCCCAACTAAACACCTCGGTAGCCACTGAAGAAAAATGATAGTTCAAGGTTATCCACAAAGAAAGTGACATAGAATTTACAGGAACAGTAAGACCTTCATCAACCATGCTTGAAATAGATGCAGTTTACCTGAATTATAACCATCTCTGATGACCTGCAATACAGGGCCAGACAGGAGATCGACTGGTGTACGGGACTTACAGTCCTCCAACGTAATGGAAGCACCAGACTGAAGGAGGATACTTGCAACTGCAAGATGACCAAAATGCAAAGCCCTGTGAAGGCTACTCCATCCTGATTCTCCATCCTGAATATAGATAATGTTAAGAGTTGTACAAGGTGTTAAATATAATATCAGCAATAAAACATTGGTATCGTACACATACTGTACCAGTATTCTACTATTTGGAAGCAACGCTGCTGAATGGTCCACAATTTCGAACGCATCTCATTCATAGAATTTAAAAATATTTGAAAAAAGGGACCTATAAACAATATAATGCAGAGTACTGAAACATGCATCTATTGGAAACAAAAGCTTAAGGACAGCTTCACCTCATCTTCCAAAATATTCAAACAAAATTAAGTATTAGTTTCTGCAAGTAACCATGCACGTCAGGTTTGTTATGCTGTCATATAATGGAAAGAA